TTTTTTGTAAGGTGAACGTGTTGAGTTTGCGTGTTACTGTTGTCCTGATTAGCGCGCTACCACATCCCAGAAGGACTGAATGGGATTTGCTGGCGTGCGATTCTGAATCTGACTTTGTAAAGTCACCCACAGCATAACCATTGCAACAATTACACACACACATATATACACGTGCAAGCACTGCAATCATACACACGTTTAGTCATTGGTCATCATGGTGCAGGTCTCCCCACGTCCCGAGCAGCCATGGAAGTTGTTGTACCATACTCCAGCTACATCGGTGTCGGTGAGGGAAGGCGTTCGTGAATAATCGATCAAGGACGAGTTCAGATATCACTCGTAGCTGATGCTAGCCGTGGCCCCGGCATGGAACTCGAGTGGCCCCGTTCACAGCGCAATGGGTCAACCACCGCGTCACCGCTCCGCGCTCGACACAGCGACGCATGCGGCCCTTGTGTCGATGTCGTCCACCGCTAGATGATCGTGGCAAAGCGGCGGGTTCAGATGCCGCTCGCCACTGATGTTAGCCGTGGCGTCGTGCTGCTAACCACTGCCCCACGCGCTGCACGTCCCGTTGAATGCACCGAAATTGCAACGTGAACTGCCGAGTCAGCGTTCGACGACGTTGCAAATGAAACCGTGTAGGTGTAGGATTGTAAAAAAGCATAAAAGTTTGACGCTACCGATTTTATGCGTAAAAAAGTGTTTTGGGTTAGATGGCGTAAGTATAAATGTGTCGTACCCCGCCACCACCCGACACAGCCAACCAGTAAGGTTTGCCACGTGAACTAAACGTGCCAGTTAGTTGCTGCTTCAGCCCACCGGTGTGTCGGAGAGTAAACCCACAAGAATCACCGGCGAAACGTCACGATGCTATCACATTGTAAACGTTGTGGGTTTACTCTCCAACACAACGGCGGGCTGAAGTCGTAAGTAGCTGGCGCGTTGTGTTTACGTGATTAACCTCACTGATTGGTCTGTGTCGGATGGTGGTGGGTTACGACGCATCTATACTTACGCGATCTAACCCAAAACACCGGTATTGTGCGTAACATTTTTGAAGTGCGTAACGTCGTTTTAATGGGAATGTTTGTTGCAATCCGGGTCCGCCAAATGCCTCCATGCAGCAGGGAACTCATTGACAAGGCGCCGTGAATTGTTTCTTTTTACAGAATCATTCAAATTCATTAATTCGCCCGTCACGTCCATTGTTCCGGTCTACAAGAGAACGCTCCGTTTGACCTACTGACCTATACAATTAAATACATCCCCAGCCGAGACTTGATGGACAATGTGCAATGTTTGCGTTTAATGTTTAACTTAACGGTAATCACATTTAACGCGTGGCTGAGCCCCGGCGCGCGTGTGTGTATGTATATAAATACATATACACTCATAGCTATGCGTAAACAACGTTTAAAATGAATAATATTAATGCGCAAAAAAAAAATAACCACGTGTCAATCCACTGCTGGCGTGAAAGTCCCGACCACGTCGTCGCAGTATATACAGATGAGTTGTTTAACCATACTTGGTAATGGGTCAGATACAATTCGTCACTGGTGTTAGCCGTGGCTGGGAATCGAACTTGGTTATCATATCGTGTGTGCATTTATATACACACACACACGCGCGCGCGCATACATGGTTTGCGTGTTTGTGTGTGTATATATATTAGGGGAGCGGTAGTGTAGTGGTTAGCGCGCTGTGCTACGCTACGCAACAGACGACCCGAGTTTCATTCCCGCTAGTGGCCAACACCAGTCACGATTTTCTGAACCGGTCCTGAGCCTCCCCTAAGTCGACTCAGCCTCAAATGCGTACCCGGTGCGGTGTGTAAACATCGCCACTCGGGAGACAAAGGCGGCCGGACGTGGTGTTGACCATCCCACCCCCTCGTGTGCCGTGCGGTCTACATAAGTGCTAACAGCACTTGCCCCAACAGTCTGATCAGGCTATACGGCAGATCTTTGTCTTTATTTTAAATATACAGCGCCGTTCCGGCCTTCATAGGTGCTCGCTAACAGCATTTGCCCCACGAGTCTGTAAAGGCTATACTGGGGGGTCTTTGTCTGTGTATACACACAGACATATATGTGGCCAATTACACTAATTAAAGGCCTCTACACACATTGCCGTAAAAGTTCACAAATTCAAGCGTGTGGTTTTTTTTTGGTTACAATTATTCAAAGCTCGTAAATGATAGTCATACAATTGCTAATAAATGTCCCACGTGTATTTGTAAACAAAATCATTGTATCGTGCATGCGCATGTCTACTCCGTAGATGATACGGTGCACGGAATCTGTATTTATCCTGGAGAAATCCGATGAGCTATGAAGCTCTTTATAACAGATCTCCAGTAAAATCGCACAGTCGGGACTGCAATCGGTTATTCAACGTATTTCGCGAACACGCGCACGCATCTATTGAGCTTATGCCCGCACGACGGGACTAACGGCGCATTGTCGTAGATAACGGTTCGTGTAAGTATAGTGCCGCACGCTCTGGGTTACAACACGCTCCGGGAACGCGAGGCGTAAATCACGGTGCCTGTAAGTAAAGTACAACACTCTCTGGGAACACGAGGCACGCAAACAAACATGCGCCAGGTGTAAAAAAAAAAGGTTCAAATCTGGTCACATCAACCCCCACGTGCCACATTATGAGACGCAACCCAAGACGTCATTTGCCTTTAAAATAGTGGAGATTCAAAGAGACGAGTGTTTTGTAATCAGGAGAATGCGGTGTAGGCGCGTTTGACGATGTTCCTGAACCATTTTACCCCTCGCTACGCAATGTCGCTGCGAGGTATCTCTTCCGTCAGCACATCGCCAACAATTTGAGTATCTCATTCCAACGCTTTTCAATTAGGCGGATATGTGTGTGTGTGTGTTAATATTACGTATATGTAGACGGAGCGTAGGAAATACAACCGCATCTCAAGTCCCTGCAACAGTTTCAGTTTTTGTCAGTTTCATGTATTTGGTGTAGCCCTGTGAGCTATTCGGCTCTTGAATCTGGTGCCACCGCAACAAACAAAAAACATGAACAAGGAACATCTTAAAGTGACTATGCGCAAACAGAAAAATCTAGGAAAAAACTGCAAAGTCTTCCAGAAAAAAGCACCGTACACAAACGCTGTGCAAAAATCCCAGTGGGATGTAAATCAAACAACAACAACAACAACCACAAGACAACTTAGATTAAAGCCATCATTCTAACTCCGTACTGCAACAAACAAACATGGCCAAACCATAAAAGTTTTCGAAATCACCAAAATAAAGCCATAAGCAACAGAGGAGGCAATACGTGGATTCGCTGTTTGACAGCCCGAGTGTCGATACCATGCACACGACGAGCGAGGCAAGGAATTGACTCATGGCACGACATGCCACTCGTCTTCTTGGCTTTGTCTCCAGTGGAGAAGCGCGCATGATATGCATAAGATACTCAATGCGAACTCGTGGCCCACCCCTCGTTCTAGGCGGAAGAGCGTTAAGTGCGAATGGAATAAATTCATATCGATTTGAAGCTGTCGTGACTGCAGGAATCCATACTCTTTGGTTCTTTCGGTAAAGTCACGTAGGTAAAAAAATGTATTTTAATTTTTAATTTTTCTACCTCCTTGACTTTACCGAAAGACCCAAAGAATATTAATTCTTGAAGTCACGAAAGCTTATGTCAAGGTATAAATGAAGTTTAACACGTAGTCGGCTTTCGCGTCCAATATCATGCCATAATAGTTTTTTTTGAGGGGTTAGATCGCGTAAATATATAAATGTGTCGTTCAACCCGCAACTACCTTACACAGTGAATTAGTAAGGGTTGTCACGTAAACAGAACGTAGCCAATTCGTCACGAGTACAGCACACCGGTGTGTTGGAGAGCCAAGCCACACATCTGGCTGTCGCCTGATGAAGCTAGTTGTAATTACTGGCGAGACGTCGTACTCAGATTGTAAATGTTGTGGCTTTGCTCTCCAACACACCGGTGGTGTGCTGTACTCGTGACGAATTGCCTAGGTTCTGTTTACGAAGTCCGCTCGCTGCTATGCTTACGCTACTCCTTCCTCCTGCCCTCTTTCTCCACTCATTCGTGTACTGGGCCATCATCTCCACGTCCGCCCCAAAGTCATTCATCATCACCGCTCGGAACCACCTATCACGATGATGCTGTCGATGCCTTCCTCTCGATCTTCACCCTTGTGCTTCCATGTCCGTCGACGTGTTTCTCTCGATTGTTGGTTCCGCTCTCCTCGTCAGTACCACGTCTACGACAACGTCTTCTCGCCGTCGCGTCGACGGTATCCTGCACGATATAGGCTCATGAGCGGCTTTCCAAACGCATTGCCCTTTTGTCAATTGCCTTCAGCACCAGGCGATGCTGATGCGGTGTTGGGAATGGCTGGCAACATTGGAACTCGCAATTCAAATATCTCCGACTTCGATCTCCCGGTGCGGCATACACACAGTACATATATATACACACAGTATATATATACTGTGTGTATGTGTATGTATGACTGGGTGCAACCACAGTTAGTTGATCGCCAGGTCCCGTGTCGTAGGGGTAAAGTGTGTGGGCATCTTTCGCGGGACGTTTGATCCACGAGATCAGGGTCCGGCTACCGATATTTTTATTTTCGAAATCTGTAAAAAAAATAAAACTTCAATATTTCAAGAGCCGCCAAAGCACTTTGTGGTGAATACGAGACGGTAGTGGGTACTTAATAAATAACGGGTCACGATGCGGTCCTTAAAGAGCCACCGCGTACGGCTCCGTAGCTGCAGGTTGCCAACGCCTTGCTCTCGACTGTCTCGCGAGAACACCCTCCAGTGATCGAGCATTCACAGGGCTGCACCCTAACCATGCATGCGAACGAACGAAACATGTAATGAACGAATGAATCATTTCAAGAATGCACCATCAAACATCACGCCGCGTGTATGTCCGTCCGTGCGTCCGTCCCGCCTGCCTGCCTTGACCGATCGCCGCAGGGCACTTTCCACGGTCATGGCACTGGGCGCGAACATCATCTGCAACAAGATCCCGGGACTGGCGCCACGGCAGCGGGCACTGTGCCAGAGCCGTCCGGACGCGATCATCGTGATCGGCGAGGGCGCGCAGCTGGGAATCAGCGAGTGCCAGCACCAGTTCCGATTCGGCCGCTGGAATTGCTCGGCGCTGGGTGAGAAGACGGTGTTCGGCCAGGAGCTCAAAGTTGGTAAGCGCCCCGACTCGGCCTCATTTCGGCGGAGGAGTTCACACGCGGTGTGCGGTTGCTCGCGCTTGCCACTGTGGTGGTGCGCGCGCGCGTGCGTGCGTGCGCGCGCGCGCGTGCGTCGTGTGGCACGCGCGTGCATCGTGTGACACGCGCGTGCGTCGTGTGGCACGCGCGTGCATCGTGTGACACGCGCGTGCGTCGTGTGGCACGCGCGTGCGTCGTGTGGCGCGCGTGTACCGCACGGCGCGTTTTGTCGACGATCAGCGGACGCACGAGGGGTGTTCCCCACTCCGAGCGAGTTGTGGAGGTTGTTCTTGTTGTTGTTGTCGTTTGACCATTGTTGTTGTTTTGCTGTTGTTATTATCATTGTTCCGCTTATTTACACGGGGAATGTCTCACTGAGTCTCGTGATTTTATTTTTTAAAGAGGATCTTGCCAAATGTTCGTAATAGTGGGGGCGAGGGGGGCGGTGATTGCGATGCGAAATCCCTGTTAAGAAATTTGCGGGTATTTTTTTGTTCCAATTTGGTACATTTTGCCACATCATAACGCCGGCACACAATGGCGCGAATGGCGTCACGGGATCTTTAACGCCCACCGTGAAGCAGACGGCGCGTGGTTTCTTTTTGTTGTTACACCCGCAGCATTACTCAGGGCAGCCGCTGTTGGTCAAACCGCGAACCTCTGCGACAAGCGGCTGAAAGCGCGCCTCCGCTGGGCCGGGTTCAGCGCATCAGCCGCACCTTGGGGTGGTCAGGATAGGTTCCAGGGGTAATCCTTCCCCATCCTCTCGCCGCTGGTGTCAGCACATAGCCGGGAATCAAACCTCAGGGTTCCAAGCGCGATAGGAACCCTCCTCCGCCCCCCCTCTGCGCCGTTGCGCCACTGCTCCTGCCCATCTCCTGCCGCGCACGCATTACATCACGGCGGCGATGGCCAGTTCGTACAATCTCTGTAATTGTACGGCAGCGGTAACGTGGACTCTTTCGTTTTTTTTGTATTTGAAAATTAGTGGTCCAGAATTCTATGCTTTGGCTATTCAAATTCAATCGTGTGATAACCGCTCTCATTTGATAAGACCGATACCACAACCATGCCATCTATGGTGGCACCATCGAGTTAAATACTTGGTCTGAGCCAATGAATAATGGGGGACAGCGGTAATAACGATTGTTTAATTATTGTACGTGAATTGCGGTGCGGTGGGGCCGGGTTAAGGTTCGGAAACCAAAATAACAAGAAAATGCATTTTTTTCCAATTCGGTAAAACAAAATAAATAACATCAACATTTCAAGAGCCGCAATGCACCGGGGTGAACACGAGACGGCGGGGTCCTTCATGAACGACGCCACGACGAAGCGGGCCTTAAAGAGCCGCCGCACGCGGCTTCCGAGTCGCAAGTTGCCAACGCCTCCGGGGGGGCCAGGGCCACCGCTCAGCAGGTTGTCGAACAACAACAACAACAAACATCGACAGAATTGAAGGTTGCGTTGCGTGCATCCCAAAGGAGGGAACGCCCAACCCCGAGAGGACGTCCACAGCGCGGAGACGGAGCGGCGAGGCGAGCTCGTGCGAGGTGGATTTGTGGCATTGCAAGGCCGCGAGATTGACGATGGCTGATGATGATGATGATGACGACGGTCATAATCAGTGGCATTGGGAACATGCGGTTCAGTGCATTTCTATGTTCACGTCCACTTCAGAGTTTACTCAATACTTTACTCGGTAGGCGCGGTGGAATAATTGAAATTGATAGCTCGAATCGATGAAATAATTGCTTAAAGTATCACGTAATTTCTTGAAATTAACGCAATTAATTATTTGCGCATCTTCCGTTATCCCAACTGAGCTTGCCGAGTCACCCATGTCTGTGAGCGGGGCTAAGCTACGTCTGTCGGAAAATGACGCGGACAGACGTCAACTCGGACATCGCGCAGCTCAGGTGACCCACATTTGAATACAATAACGCGAGGAGTTCATCGTGATCCGCACTTGCACCAGACCTCATTCCGTGGCTCCATCTCCTCGGCGGTGACCCTCCTCTCGGACGCATTCCATCCTTTGGCTGCCGCTCTGCACCTCGGCTCGCCCCACGAGTCATCGCCCGTCCCTCTGTGACGACGGCGAACGCCAAAGGCCCCTCGCCAAGCCGAGCAGACGGATTAACCAGCAGCAAAATGTCGTGCAAACTTTGGACCGTAATTCGGCGTTCTGGGTCTCATCAAGCAGTCAGGCTCGTTAGCCAAACACCGCTGGTGTACCGGACGTTGTTGGTAAGAGCACTTCCTGTATAAGACGGGGCCCTGCCGGCGCGCAAAAACCCCAAGAATTACGATTATCGACGGCGCAAAATCGAGTTTTTCATCAAAATAAACGCAACGAAAATATGTACTCGTGAAGTGCACAGACTCCCCCCCCCCCCCGCCAATGTGTGCATGACGCATGCGGGCATCACAACTGGGAACGATGATGGATCATCGTTGATGATGGATCATCGTTCCCAGAAAACGATGAGTCTTCACCCATGACAACATCTGAGGCACAAGCCTTTCACTTCACAAGTTAAACATTTACACTGCAGAAACGCGGGGATCGCAGATGTCATCATCATCGTCGTCATCATCAGCCACGATCTAAAGCTATCCACTGCTGGATGAAGAACTTCCCCAAGCCGCCGACATCCATCGTGGTCTTGCGACGCAACAATCCACGTGTAGCACCGGCACGCAAACCGATGTTCATCGCTCCATCTCCGCGATGAACGTCCGCTCGGGCACGTCCCATACCTTTAGCCACCTCTACGTTGTTAGACTCGACCACTGGCCACCCATCATCCCTGCCGAGCCCACCTTCGATAGGACGCCTCTCAACACGAGTCTGCCCTCTAATCCGCGTGTTCCTCTTCCTACCCCTCAATGCAATCCCAAGCACGGACCTCCCCGTGCTTCTTTACTGCGCCTCTCAGCCTTTGTCCCGTTGCCTTTGTCTCTGTACGCGTTTCTCATGCACGGCGGCGAAAGATGCGGCCACTGCACAAGGCGGATTGGCACAAGGCACACGAAAGTGGAAACAAATGACTCAATGTGCAGTGGGCTCCGACGGACTCTCTGCCCCATGGGTCGTGGTGATGATGATTATGATGATTATGAAAGTGAGATGGATATGGCGTGCCGAAACTATTTTCGGGAACGGTGTTCCGGACTTAGATTTCAGCACCGGTGCTGTGGCCCGACACTGCCCCGATACGAGTTCCTCTCCACGTGGTCACGATTGGTTGACACGTTTGGCGAGCCCCCTATAGCTTTCTGCTCCTCGGTTCGGGGATGGTGGCGGTGGTGGTGGTGTCCGTGAGGTCAATTTCGGGTTCCATTCGCATGCCACGGACGCACACGCATCGCTTTCAATCAAGTCAAGACAAAGGCTCTCGCGGAGAAAATGGGGAAGTCTTGTCGCTCACACGCTCCCTCGACGACGCGCGCTGCGCTCAACTGAAGCGGCTTTGTTCGCGCTGTCGTCATCGCGCTCGCGGAAACGCCAGACACTTTGTAATTGCATCCCGAGTCTTAAAAGAAGACGTTAAGCCAAACAAATAATGCACACACACACACACAATGTGTATATATTATTGCGTGCGTTTGGCAATATGTTCACGGGACGAATGCGAATGTCGAGAGGGCTTCATCATCGAGACTGGGGGAGAGTTCCTGTAGTTTGTCTGTTGCCCATCCGTTGGAGGATTACAGCCGACGGTGGATGTTGTTGCTATGGCCCATGGCTTGGGTTGCACGGCCACAACCGCACTTCTGCGGAAACGTCGTTCATTTCTCATTCATCGGAGAGATGCGCGCGTCGTCCCATTGGTGTTCCGATGCGCGTTGACAGCCAGTGTCTTCGAGGAGGAGGAGTGTCAAAGCCAGGAGGACGCGTTTGATGTTTGGGTCTCGAATGAGGTGTTTATATTGTCGGCGTCGGCGTTTTTCCACTCCCATTCGCAAATCTTCTCCCGGATCTGGGTGCTGGGATTCTGGGATGGTGACCGCGGCGGCGGTGGCAGCGCGATCCCAGAAGGGGAGTCGGGGGAGGGGGGGTGGATCTGGACCTGAGTAGTTGGTGTGCGAGGTGAAGATGATGAGGTCTTGGTTGATGAGAGGGTGGGCGATGGTCGTTGGCAGAAAAACGTTAAAAACTCCCCTTGCAGTTTGTGCGATGTCTGTCTCTGCAAGACATTAGGTCTCAAAAAATGTTGACACAGAACGCAGTAGATTGGGGGGGGGGATGTTGAGTGGGCAATACGTCTCCACGTGTCCGTCTCTCCAACATGAAAACAATAACGCGCTTCTTACTCATCCCGTCAGTCTCACGGACTTCTGGGAGCGCGCATTGTTTCAAGACGAGCAAACTCCGGAACGGTTTCGACATTCAGTGTCTCGTCAGCAGGGTCAGGCTTGCTTCAATCAACGGCGGTGAACTGGCGATCTTACAGGCATGGTGGAACCTCCCTCCCTTTACGATATGCGGCCGCAATTCGACGTAAAATTGTACGAAACACAACTCACCGTGCACAATAATCAGCTGCTTTCTTGTAGTTGTGCACCCAGGATGCTTGACTGAGACGCGTTGAAGGCATGATTATTATTATTCAGAAGAATCGAACGCTTTACGCCATGGAATTTGCCATAATTCATTCCCGTCGTCGCAACACGACACGTTTACCAAAGTGATCTTTCCCGAATTGAGTCGTTGCATGCTGCACGCGCCTGATGATTGCTAAACGCGTTCCACTTGGCGTAAACAGCCTTGACTCGCTTAAGATATAGATAGTCTGTGTGTGTGCGTGTAGATGTCTTGCGAGTGTGTGTTGCACATGTGTGCACCACCGATGCACCTAGCCTGGCACAAGCGCTGCGGTGACCTCACTGCCACTCAGTGGCCAACGAGGGCTCGTTTTGTCGTACCACCGATGCAATGTGAGTGGCGTGTCTTTAAAGAGGGAGAATGC